CGTCCTGTAAATTAGGATCAGCGTCATCACTAAGCAAGGCCTCTACAATTCCAAGATGTCCTTCCCAGCTGGCAACCATCATTGCAGACTGACCAAACTTCAAACAGAGAAAGATTGTTAACAGTTAAGTTTCATAGTAAGAATCCTTAAGCAGCCTTGCGTTTAGCCACTATGAAACAAAGGTCTCGCCTTATTCAAGAACGACTACATCTATAATTTGGCAGAAGAAATAACATGTTAGTTAAATGAAGAGATAATTCAACCATTGATAGTTATTATTGAAAACATTACATATAATTGAAACTGATGACATCAACTTATTTTCATGTCCCTAATTTAGCGAACGTGTGTACTGTGAAGGTTTGATTAGTATCTCGTCATTTACCCTCATTCGTAAATTTATGTGTAGACGGACAACAGCTTTCTAATATTTTCTGCTGATAATTGTTCTGCAGTAAACTTGTGCCTCTCAGTTTCGAGGGTATTGGGAAAAGTGACTAATAGCGCATTCGTCAAAAAAAAAATTCGCGCCAAGGCTTTCAAACGATCGGGATGCAAAACTGCAACTTTGAGTTTAACTTTTTCCTCTGTTCTGAATAGTCATGGTCGTGTTACACACGGAAGGAAAGCGTTTTATTTACTGAACTCATTAAAGCAAAAAAGTAATAAACACAAGATTTGAAGCTACATGGACATAAACTGCACCTCATTTTGATAATTCACATCAACTCCTTCATCAATGGTTCTCTTCACCTCATCCTCATCCCCCGCTTTAGCAGCAACCATGAGATCTTTACAAAGTTCTATCTACAATAAAAAACAAATCCCAGCAGGTAACCAACTCCTGGCCTTAAAAAGTCATAAGAACCTGTGTATCACTATAGCCTTTGTTAATTTTATAGAAATTTTGCAGGAGAGGGGTAGGGGTAGGGGTAGGGGGTAGGGGGTAAATAGTATCAATGCAACTTCGCCTTTAACCCTTTAACTCCCATGAGTGACCAAGACAGAATTTCTCCTTACAGTAACAATAGAACATCAGCCAGATAAGTGATGAGAATGAAGAAAAAATTAATATTAATTTGGGGATAATTAGCTGATCCAATACTAAATTCTCTGAACCAACACTATAAGAAGTGTATGGTTGACAGTAAGGAGAATGAAAAATTTGATCTGGGAGTTAAAGGGTTAAAGCAAAAAATGAAATTTTGATATTAACCTGTTTTTCTATTTCTTTGTCCTCAGCCCCTTTTATACTCATCTGTAATTCTTCTCTGCTGAGAAACATTTCTTTCTGCAAATAAAACCACATTAAATTAATAACTAGTATGCTTCAGCAAAAACATGCATTATCCATATTGATACAATTCAGCTCTTACTAGAAAAACACACTCACCTCTTTGTATATTGAACTTACACTTGCAGCTGACAGGAGAGGACTCTTATGAACACGATCTGAACTATATGTGTCTAAAAAACAAATGAGACATTTTTAAGGTTATAACTAAACAAAACTTTGAGATTTCATTCCACTATGTATAAGTATTACTGACATTAGTCTCCACATCTCTTAGAATTGTCTCCTGAAGCATTGAATGTACATTGTACAATACAGATACACATGTACTTTGTTTCTATGCACAACATAATAAATTGAACTGTTAACCCTTTCATTCCCAGATAAAATTTGTAATTCTCTTTACTGTCAACCATACAATTCTAACAATGTCCTAGTTCAGAGAATTTAGTATTGGATCAACAAATTATTCCCAAATTGATTTATTCTCATCACTTATCTGGTTAATCTTGTATTGATATTGTTAGGAGAAATTCTGTCTTGGTCAGTCATGGGAGTTAAAGGGTTAACTGTTCAACTTGTAACCATACATGTACCTTTAAACTAAGTAATAAAAAATAAAATCATACTGCAACATGCAGATTATATACATTGTGTAATAGAATCAATGTCAGTATCTGAGCAAATGTATACCCACCCCTCCCCTAACCCAAAATTAACCCTAGCTCATTGTCAGTTGACTGTTATTGGGTTAGGGTAGGGGAGGGGTAGGTGTGTAGTTACCCAGATACTGACATTGATCCATGTTACAGTAAGTGTCAGGGCTGCAAATTGATCACAGCAAAACAGTACAAGAATGATACAGGTATATATTTTATCATCAGAGTCATCTTTTGCAAACCACAATCTACCATACTGTATATCTATATTAAAACATAATGAATGAAATTACCTATGCTGGTAGAATCATCATTTGATTTTCCATCCAACTTTCTTAAAGTCTTTTTGTATTCTGGTGGAGGAACATATGGAGGGGGTACCACTGCAAATCTTCCACTAGCATCATCTCTGTATTCATGATCAGTAAAGACACTGTCATCATAATCTGACAACACTTCACTCTCTGCCTTCAGGGTTGAAAACTGTTGTGATTGTCCATTTGAATTTTTAGGACTATAATCATTATATTGATTATATTCTTGGGGGCTATGATCCAAAGGCCTGTAGAAACCAGCACTGGTCATGCCAGTTGTTTTGGGAAACTCCCTTAAATTGTTTGAGTCTCTCGGTGAGTCTTCCCTGTCATGATGGACCATGACTACAGATAGCTTCTGCCTTGGTTGATCAACAAGTGCAGTTTTCACCATCACCAGCTTGCCACTTACAGGGGTGGCATCCCTGAAACTTTCTGGAGGGGAGTATATTGGAGTGTGAGCTCTTCCATTTGTTGTCCTTGCAGAGTAAATTCTTGGAGTCACAGCCGCTTGCTGGGGTTTCATATTATCAAGATGGTAATCTTCAACAGGATGAAACTGCTGTGTGTCTTCAGGTTCTGGTTCAGGTACCATTTCTCTGTATAAGGAGTCCTCCAAAGCTGTATCCTCATACCAAGAGGAACCAGGCTCTGGTTGCCTTGGAATCCCCTGATTATCCTTTGTCATCACTCTCTTATCATTAAAATCTGATTGGCTCATATTTAAGGATGGCAGGGCTTCTGTCTTATAAATTTCACCATTCAGAGAACTCATATGTTTCTGATGAGAATTGGCATTTCTATTCCTCCTACTGATTTGGAATGTTGCTGTTGAAGTGAATGTTCTGGTGTTTTCTGATTTGGAAGTTGTTATTTCTGATGGAATCAACTTTGATTTTGTTGATGTGGGGCCATTTTCCACAACTGCTGTTCCAATGTGTGATTTTTTGGGTGGACTTTGAGAGTACCAGCCTCTCTCCCCATCAACACAACTGTCTTCAAATGAAAAGTCTAAAACAGATGTTCTCTTTTTATTGCTCTCAACTCTTTCATTGTCTGACCACTTCTGGCCAGTTTTATTTTCCAAGGAAGTGTTATGTGACCAACCTCTGTGACTGTCACCTGTGGCGTTGCCTTGACTTGTGTGGTAAAGCTCCTCAGGAATGCTCCAGGACTGCAGCTCTTTGCTCTGCTTGACCTCTGGTACAATCAAACTTTCAATTGCTGGAACCCATTCTCTATCTTCTTGCCACTGATGCTGACCCCTGTGACCTGGAGATGACTTTGGGGGCATCGATTCTGTCATTTCTGAGGTTTCTTTTACAATAATCTGATCCTGTTCTTTACCAGATACAGCTTTGCTTCTCACTGGTGAATCTTCCACATCCATGGCAGCCTGGACATTGTGGTCAATATACATTATCTTTGGCCGCACTACCCTGATGGGCAAGTCTGATTTGTCTTCAGGAGAGGCAGTATCAATGTAGCCCATGTTTGTTTGTACAACTTTTGCATTTCCTCTTTCTGGTGACACAACTGATTGTGAAAAATCTTGGTTACTCAAATTACTCTGATTTTGTTCCTGTTTACCATTATAACATCCATTCTTTGTTTCACTTGTAGCTTTATAGTGATGCAAAACCTCCTGATCTTTACCATCTTGAACGAAGTCACTTTGCAAAGACTCATTCATGGATGTAAAGCTGGTAAGGGAAAGGTCATCACCAAAACCATTTCTCTTCGTCTTCCTTCCAAAGTAAATCCCAATTATACTTAATTGCTGCATAGTGAGACAGACATCGTTTCTTCCAAGAGAGGAACGGACATGTTTACGTGCACACTCAGGCACTAACATGTAAACCAGAAGGTCTGATGCACCAAAGGAAACTCCCATGTATATAATTGTTTCCCAATCAGGGTCACCTTGGGCAATCTCAGGGATGTGGAAAAGTCTTCTGATCTTCTGCAATATTGTCTTCTTGTTCTCAGAGAACCATGTAAAATGGTTTCTGATCCTTATCCATAATGGAAAGTAGCCACACTCTGGAAAAAAAATATAAGAGAAAAAAGAACAGAAAATAATAATTAATTCCTAATAATTTTTTAAATATTACTTTCAGTGATTCTTACAATAATTACAATAATAGTAACAATAATATTCATCCTCCTCAAAATATGCAAATTACATTCATAACCATTACAAGAATATTCAAACTTAGAATATACCAGCAAAACATTAATACTATTAGCATTTAACATTAACAACAGCATCTAAATTTTAAAAAATTATCCCGAATTTTTGAACTACAATTTTCTTTCTTCTTGAACTTTTCAAAGGTGTTTTCTCCATTGCAAGCAAAGAACTTAGGCTGAAGATTTAATTTATACCAGCAAAACATTAATATTATTAGCATTTAACATTAACAAAAGTATCTAAATTTAAAAAAAATTATCCCGCATTTTGGAACTAAAATTTCCTTTCTTCCTGAATTTTTAAAGGTGTTTTCCCTATTGCAAGCACTTAGGCTGAAGAATTTAATTTCAAGAACTCCATCGTGAGGGAATTTAATTTATTTATATACTGTCATCACTATGAGCATTAGGTGTACGTGGAAAATGCAAATAATGTAAACATCTTCTCACATTCTCGTGTTTATTTACGCCGGTCTTAATGGTTTTCTCAATGATCGTAGTATTTGAATAATTTGTCATGTCATCCTCAAGGAATCCAAGAAAAAATTCTACAAGAGAGAAGCAATGACTCTAAGCTTTTTAAATTAAGTACACAGTAAGAACAAGATAAAACCATTTGCATAATGCTAGACGAATATCCTGATAACGCGTGGGTCAAACTATAAACAAGAGATGAAAAACGGACGATGACGTACCTTGAAAAACTCGTGGATGCACCGGGTTGCTGCGACTTTCCCACTTACTGACTACTTGGAGGAGATCGTGACAATTTATCTTCTTCAAGAGGCGCTGCACAACTCGCAAATTATCTTTTCCATAATATAGATTAAGAACCGCGATTAGAGCTTCGCCGTCCGTGACAGTTCTCAATGTGTCACTTCGAATAGCATTGCGGAGAAGTAAGACGATGTGATCTACTTCGTCCAACCTTAAGTTTCGGGCCACAAAATCTTTAATTTCTTGAAGAGGTTGGAAAACTAATGCTGAAAGTCGCTGCCTGTCATACTGAAGCTCTTTGATATTGATTCTTAGGTCCTCCGTAGCCATATCAACGCTATGAAAACTTGAAGCAAGCTATGAGGTTGAGCCCACTCCGAGAGCTGAGCCACTTTCAGTTGTAGCTTCTAAACAGATCTCACATAGTTTGATCCATTATAAGAACACCAAATCTGTAGCTTAACAGATTCGTAATTTCCTTCGTGGGAACTCAACCTACAAAGTTATGTCCTCCAAGGGTCCTAAAATCTTCCAGATCGCGATGCGCTTAGCCAGTTAACCCCGTTTAGCTTTGGATTAGGTAGTCTTTTTTTACCACTGGAATTCACGCCGTTCTTGAGGCTTGCCACAGCCGCCAATGTATCAACCAGATGGTATTGATAACTCACTGTCTATATTGATAACGCACTGTCTGATTGGTTTTTAAAAACTTTCCTTTGATCGATGTCAACAGAAGGTTTCCGTTCGCGCAAAACGGTTTCCTGGGTCATGCAATCCTGATGATTTGCCGACTGGTCTTTGTTGCTGTGCGGCGACGCGTAACCAGCGGAATAATCGGTAGAATAATTGAATAAATTTTCAAAGCGTGAAAAGCACAATTAGCCAAACAAATAAGCTCTGGTAACTAAAACAACAAAACAGCCAGTGAGAATTCGCGATAAAGAGCTTTCCTGACCTCGCTTTCCTCTTGAAGTTGACACAGTTTGACACTGTTGAAAGGCAAGACAATCCAACAGGAAGCCAGCCAAATCCCACCAAAAGCGTATTTCTTCGGATTAAATAGCCAGTCTTCTTTCGCAGATTTAAGAAAACAGAATTAGGATTTCTTCGTGGCGATTAAATCGCACAAAAGCGCTGAAAAATAAAGGAAAGTTATTCGTATTTCTTGCCTCATGATTCGCCTCATGTGACAAAATATTTAAAGCGCCTAACGGTGGAGAGACATTGGACACTAGACCTTAGTGCCCATGGTATCGCTCTGGTGCTCTCTATTAACGCCTGGCAGATTCTGCATAACAGCGTTAGAAATGCAACTGCATGAAATCAGAATAGGGTAGTTTTCGTTCTTTTACCTTGAAAACGTCGCATGTGGATATCTCAACTCTACAGTGTGCCTTTGAACACGACAGATATGGCTGCTAAGAACAATTTTTGGGTTCTGATCAGTGATACGTAGCTGATCTCAGTGTAGTGTTTTGGCAAGCCTTCTCTGAGCACATAAGTTTTTTGTTGATGCCCAAAATGAGGAACTGATACATCTAAAGAAATAATGATGGCAAACTTAAGAGGATCATTCGAAACAGAGAGGAGAGATGAGAAAGATTTACTCACTGTTGTTGATCTGGATAACCCAGAGGACGAAGATGATGCAGATCACAATGAGAGTGGTTTTGTATCACCAGCAGAGCTAACAAAAATTAATTTCCGGTCATTGATCGGCCATAAAGATGAGGTATGAGAGATGATTACCCTTCTTTACTTTAAGAAAGTAATTGATCTGTGATTACAACAATTGCAACAAGGTTCTTGTATATCAATTATCAATCAATTATTATCAGCAGTTTTAGAAAACTTGCAGGTATGAACCTGGTTCAAAGTTAAGCACAGGCAAAACTTGTCCCAAATCTTCTTCAAAAATAGAATAATGAGCATGAAAAAGTTTAAAAAGAAAAGAGCACAATTTGCATTAATTGATTTGAAATTTTAAGGATGATGAAAGAATTGAACAAAGAACAAAGGAAAAAGTTGTGAATTTTTTGCAGTCTATGTCACCACCATGTTCATAATGAAAAATTTTTTTTTTCAGTAAGAGGTTATGTAGGAAATTATGTATCACCTTAAGGAGACCTTAAACATATATTAATAGTAGTAACCTTCTGAATATCTGTTAATAGGTGAATACATGTGCATTTTCTTCTGACTGGTCCAAAATTGTAACAGGTGGAGATGATATGCTGGTCAAACTGTGGGATACAAAGACAGGCAAAGTTTTATTTACTTTGGACAGTCATGAAGGTAAAAAATGTTACCATGCAATGATCTCTGTAGCGATGTGGAGCATGTGTGTATCTCTGATAAGAAATGCTTGATACACATAATGATAACCATACTGAACAATTTTCTCTCTCTCTCTCAGTCAATGTTATAATAAGTGTATGTTAGAGAGACAAAAATTTTCATTGAGTAGATCCTTTTTTGAAATTTAAAAATTTGTCTCATCAGATTTTGTATAAAATAAGATTTAAAATACACAAGAGCTTTAAAAGTTCTTTGTATTCCTTGAAACCTTGAAAAATAGGAAGCAGGTTAATGAAATATCATGGAACAACACCAATTGATGATCAATATGTTCTTACTAATGGTTATGGGTGTAAAACTCTATCTCAGAAGGGGTGTTGTACATAATGGTTAAGAGCAATTCAGTGTTATTGTTCTTAAATATGGGAGTTTGTCCTCTATTAGAATTAGAATTTTTTTCTAAAACCATTTGCTTTCAATTACAGGGCCAAGGAGTGATATTTATTTGTAAATCTTGTGTGTTTGTTTGCAAAATCACCAAATCTTTTATTTTTATAAGTATGGGAATGCTAATTTCTTGCAATTTTCTTATTGAAGATCTCTTTGGCTATAGGTGCAATAAAATGTGTGTGTTTTTCATCTGATGGAAAGCTGTTTGCCTCTGCTTCCTATGACCATACTGTTCAAGTTGTGAATTGTACCACAGGGAAACAGGTATTTAGCCTGGAAGGTAAGTTATCTAAACTGTTTCACTTTTGAGATCTAACTGTTCATTCTCTTGTTTAATGACCACACTTTTTTGTTACAAAGAGAATATGATGTTTTATCACTATCCATGGAGTGACTGACTTGATAATGTTCTTAAATGATTGTGAAAAGAATTTGCATTTGGATCAATTGAGAAGGTTTTTATCAAGTTAATTTACAGGAATCACTGACTGAAAATATAATCTTGTAGAAATCACAGTAAATTTAAACAAATTGCTTTTTTATAGGACACACCCACAGTGTTGAAACGTGTTGTTTCTCACCTGATTCCAATTATTTGTGCTCTGGATCTTGGGACACATCAGCAATTGTTTGGAACTTGAAGGTTTCCATAATGATCATATTGCTATTGGTTTGAATTCCTCAATGCACCGGTATATGTTGTGGTTCAAATAGTATCTTCTAAGTTGGTTTTAACTTGTTCAAACAAGTTTGATTTTTAATTTCCTTCACCTGTACTCGTGGTCTTTAACTGATAAGAAAGACAGTCAAAACCAGAACAGTTTGAAACATTTTGAACCTAGGAAAAATTTAAATTACAACATTTGCATGGGTCATCCTCCACTTATTTTTCACCTAATAGTTGCACCACATACAGACATAATCATATGAATCATCTTAGTAATTTGGATTATATTATTTATGAACCAACTGTTTTAGCCTAGCTCAGACTAATTTCTTAATAACTGTCCAGTATAATAACCAATTTTCAGCTTGCTAACAAACAAAAGAGACTTCCATTGGTGGATCCTTACTGTAACTGTATCAGTCTGTGAATCTGTTATTTCCCTCAGACAGGTGCAGCTGCATTTGTTTTGGATGGTCATCGCAATGTTGTGCAGGCCTGTGCATTCTCTATCGATAGTTCCACAGTGGTAAATAAATTTTAAGAATCCGTAATCTGGTCATCTATGTAATTATGTGAAATAATTTGTTTCTTTTGATAGCTTTCCTGACAATTTTTCAATTACAACATATGAATAAAAAAAATACTTTTAAAATGTGTATTTTTTTGTATCAAATGATATGTAGGCAACAGGTTCTTGGGATTGTACAGTTCGTTTGTGGTCACTTGGGGGTGGGAAAATGGATGTCAAGTGTCTGAAGGGACACAAGAGTAATATTCATGCAGTGGAATTTTCGTGTGACAAATTACTGGTTAGTGCACGACTATTTTGACATTTCTTGTTCTCCCTTTACTCCATCCTGAGTTTCACACTTTCCCCCTTTCAAATGCCACTTTTGGGCAAATTTGTATTCCTTTCATGTACATGTACTTTCATGGAAAAGGCATCCTTGTAAAACGCCACACTCCTAAAATTTCTCATAGTTAATTAGCTAGGGAAAATAGAAGAAGCGTTTTGCTTCAGGCCTATACAACCTTTCCTTTTTTTTTTTTTTTTCGGTATCAAACAGGATCTTTAGGAATATATCAGCTTCATTTTTCCAGAAATTCCACTCTTGGATACTCCTCTAGTAAATCTTTTATTCTTCTCTCAGGCCTCAGCATCCTGGGACAGTACTGTACGACTTTGGGACAGTCAGTCAGGGGACTTGGTACATGTACTGGAAGGACACACTGGTTGGGTTCAGGTGAACCATTTGCAAACCATAACCTCTGGGGCTGAGGCAGAGGCTCTTAGCTTTTTTAAAACTCCTTTTGTAAACTCCTTGGCATTTGACTGGCAAAACATTTTTTTTTTACTTGTCTAGAGCTTTGAGTACCAGTGGTTGAAGAAATTTATCTTTGCAAGTTGAAATACCTGCTATCAAAAATCTCTTTAAGGGTCAACAAGCCATGTGCAACTTCTCACTCTTTTATTTCAGGCGTGTTCATTTTCGGAAGATGGTAAACTTTTGGCTTCCGCTTCCGATGACCAAACGGTAAATAAATTCTTCAATTTTGTTGCAAGCATTTGGAAATCCATAGTGAGGTTTTGGTGTTATTTTACTGAGTTTTTCCTTAACTTCTTTTGTATGCTGTATATGATAAAAGATAATTTGTAATCCCCTCTTTTTCGCGAGATATTTTGTTTAAATTAACGTGTCTGGGTGTTCGAAGACTGGATAACGTCATCCAAGGAATAAATCGCTATTCCGCCCATGTGTTGGGAAAAATTTTTACGCGAGAGCAGGTTTCATTTTAGTGTCGAGAACAATTTTTACCGCTTTCGAAAAAGGACAAATATCACAAGGAGCCAAAGAGAATTCAACATTAGAACAAACAAAAGCGCTGGAAAACACGAGTGACTCAACATTCCCCTTAAATTTTCGGCTCTCGTCTGGTTAGTAAAGGGTGCTCCGAGTTTTATAAACTAATCACAAACCGAAAAAAGTAATTTATACGGTATAAGATAACATTATTCATTCCTTGAGAATCACTTTTTCGATCCTCTTTTCACCTTAGGTTCGCGTTTGGGACGTAGAA